CTGTTCTTTCTTTCTTTCTTTCTTTTTTTTTTTTTTTTGTGCTTTCAGGCACTAAGGGCAGCTTCTATTTTATTTCACTATTTCATTTTATTTTCACCTTGACAGCTGCCCAATAAAAGATTCAAGTGAGACCTCAAAGCCTGAGATCATCCAGATGCTAATCAGCAGTGCCAGCATCCCAGGTCCTAGAGGAAAACCAGCCCTGGCATTAATAATCTACTTTTTATGAGGATCCAGTGTTGACTTTTTAAATGGCTTTAGCTCTTTTTCTCAACGATTTTTTTTTAAAGAAAAAAAAATCCAGGAAATTTCTAGCCTGTCTTAATGAACCAAAGTAGATTATATGAATCTCCTGATCTGTAAGACATATAGAATATGTTTTGACCTAACCCAGCATCTGAGGGCAGAGAGTGCCAGCTCCTTTGTGGTTTTTGGAAGGCTGGGGCAACTGTAGCGGAAGATACCAATCACAGTGTGCTTGCCAGTTTAGTCAGTCAGGAATATTAAGCCTTATCTGATTAAGAGAAAGACAGGTAACCTATTTAAGATGGATGTAGTTCTTCAGATTGGGAAATTTGGTTTTTATACTAACCCAGCTGGGAAATCAATCACAAGCAGAACTGTAGATCTTTATTAACGGCAAAAACATGCATTTCCCCCCAGTATTTATTCCCTTCCTTCAGAAGATCTGGAGATTAGCACCTGCTGGAATCTTGTGCTACCTGTGGGATCCACGTTTGATGTCGTTCTTCACATAAGCCACAACTTACACATTGAGTGGGTGGGGAGATTCAACAGCCACTTCCAGTCCAGAGGAAAATAGCGGAACACCATAAACTACCCTACCCCAGAAAGAAGTAGGATGAATGAAAAGCTTCACCCCAGGTGAGGGAGGCCTTGGATTCATGTCAGGAGAGGAAGGGAGCGTTGTGTCTTTGGAACTCTGTCAGAAGCTAGAAGAAGGTATTCTGAAGAAATACAGCTCCCCCCACCAGCAGACATGAGCCTGTGATCAGTTCCTCTTTCATGGCCACAGGTAAACTCATTTTCTGTAACTTGCAAGGATAGCACTAGCCCCAGATGTAAGTGATGGAGAAACACAAATTATCAGCAAAAAAAATAATAATAAGAGAATAAAGCTAAAGATTATTTCTTAAAACACTTGAATTTCCCAATATGCCATCTTCATTATTTGGATTTCCTAAAGTTAAACACAGAACATAAGTAAAACAGAAATAGTTGAGAAAAAAGTTTAATTTTGCAGTTACTCCACATATACTAGAATTTTTTGTTTTGTTTTGGCCTAAATTGTCAGTATGTTTTCCCTAGAACTATCCATAATGCTACGTCCGTTGTGGGGGAACGTACGTGGCACCTTCACCACTATTCATCTCTGGGATGCTATTTCCCAGCTACACAGAGGCATTAAGTTACTTTTTTAAAGGAGATAGATCTGGCAGCAAAAAGTCTGCCTTCCCTATCTTTACTAAATGGGATAGGCTATGTAGGTGAGCCTGACCAGGTTAGGCAGAACAAAAGTCCAACTGTGGATGTGGAGACCCACTGGATTAATTCATGAGGGTCAGTAGCAAGGAAAGATGGATCTCCTTATGATTATTTCATAGTGGCAGCCACAGCCCACCTGATACAGAGATTATTATAAGATGCGGGGCACCAGGCAGGTCACCCTTCCCCAAAAACCTATCCCTTCTGATCTCACCTGGGGCACAAAATGTGAGCATTAGAGTGCTGGACTTTTTAACCATGATGTGCATGTATTTGATAAACACTTGCTTAATAGTGACTGTGGGCCAGACCCTACAAGGGGCTAGACGTGGAGAAGGATCTTGAGTAGAACAAATAAGAACTATAAGATTAGAGAAGAGAAAACTTCCATCTGAAGTGGCCTGGGAGGATGCCAGGAATATTACCAAAGGACATGGGCAGAGGAAATTGTCAGAGAAGAGATGTGCAGAAAGTACAGAGGAGGATAGAATAAACACAGGCGAGACTAGGCTGGGAGGAGCCTTCATGCCAGACTGATCAGGTGGGGCCGCATATTCTTGAGCAAGTGGAGATCAGAGCTGGGCTTAAGGAAGACAAAAGGCAGAGTGGAATGAATGGAGAGGAATCACAGGTAGGAAGATCAATTAAGAAGTTACCGTGAACACCTTCCAAAAAAGACAGAGAGGTGGGAAGAAGAGAGCCTACACTAGGGTCATGACCAGGGTCAGGGCGAGGAAAAGAGGGTTGTGGCAATGTGGTGGGAGAAGGGATGATGGAAGGAGAACATGCACAGCAAAGAGACAAGAAGTTCAGCTGTGGACATGCAGGTTAGAGGTGCTGGCAGAACCAGAGAAAATGGACCCTTCAACTAGCAGGTGCAAATAAGGGCCCAGAACCCAGGGTTGCTGAAGACAAGTAGGAGTCAACAGGAGCTGTGGGCAGAGGTCAGTGACATAGGTCTAGGTAGAAGTGACTTCATCCCTAAGTCTTCTAAAGTCTCCCATTTATGGAGCAGATGACACTAGAAGGAATGCATTTAGGCCAGTCCTTGCCATTAGCATAAACTCTCTTACCACTGGAAGAGGGTCCTGCTAATAAATCTGTGAGCAACATATGGGTAGCCTTCCATAAGCAAACTAAGTCCAGAGCCTAAGCTTCTGCTAAGAGAGAACACAGATGGATTGGCTTGACTGGGAGCCATAGATGTTAGGGTACAGTAGACATCCATCAAGACCTAGGGTGGGGAAGGAGACAGGGAGATCCCCCTAGAGAGGTGGGAAGGACTGTTTCATGGTTCTGTCCTCAGACCAATGGGAGAGGGAGGACAAGGAGCAAGAGGGATAAAGCAACTTAGGGTAGATCTGCCATCCATCCTCCATTGCTCCAGCACTTCTATCCTTCTAACTTTACAGACTTTCTGCTTCTGTAGAAAAAGTAAGGCCAGGCACAGTGTCTCACACCTGTAATCCCAGCACTTTGAGAGTCCGATGGGGGAGGATCGCTTGAGGCCAGGAATTCGAGGTCAGCCTGGACAACATAGTGAGACCTCCATCTCTACCAAAAAATTAAAAATTTAAAGAAAAACAATGTGGCACAAGCCTGTAGTCCCAGCTACATGGGAGGAAGCTGAGGTTGGAGGATTGCTTCAGCCCAAGAGTGCAAAGTTGCAGTGAGCTATGATCATGCCACTGTGCTCCAGCCTGGGTGACAGAGTGAGACTGTCTCTAAAAAAATAGAGTGAGACTCTGTCGCTAAAAAAAAGAGAGAGAGAGAATAAGTGTGGCCTTTTACTATTCATGCAGAATTGTGAGATTTCAGAAACTCTCAGATTCATTCATTTCAACATCAGAAGACTTGAGTTCATGCCCCAGCTCCACTACTAGATTGTGGTTGACCATGTCTTACTCTCCTTGGTATCTGTTCCTAGTAGCTAAGTATCCTCAAACAAATAGTTTGGCATCTCTGGCCCTACATGTACTCGTCTGTGCAGTGAGAATTCCACATCACAGGCAAGATCAGGTGGCATAATGTATGTGAAAGTACCTTGAAAATTGTCTCACTATACAGTTCCTGGTAGGGGGTTATTTGTGTGAAATTTCCTGTTACCTCTGAGAAATTAAAGAAAGAAAAACAATCCTGTGTTACGTGGGCCTGTTTATGGGAGGATGGGGATAGCAGTATTTGCTTTTCTTCCCAATTTGATGGTCCACATAATTTTTTCTCTAGCCTACCTTCCTTATATATATTATTAGACTTACAAAGCAACCCAGAGAGTTTGGACACCTGTCCACAATGGGCAGCAAAGCCCCACCAGGCTTTCCCACAGAGACCTCCCGTCCCTCTGAGCTGGCCCACGGGTGAGTGAGGCTCAGCCCTAAGGACACCAGCATCCCCACAGCTTTGGTGGACAGCACAGGCATGCCAGCTGGGGTAGCACAGAGAGGAAGTTTATAGGGAACTTACAGGCTTGGTTATAGGGAGAGAATTAATACATCAATGCCTGTCAACACCTGATGGCATGTTTTGGTCTCCTTCAGTTCTTTATCCCACAATACCTTAACACGGTGCTTGTCATATAATAGGTCTTTAATAAATATTTATCAAATTAAGGAAAACAGGAAATAAATAAGAGGAAATCCTAACCCTGGTCTGCACAACTTTCCTGCTGATGACAGCATAGGTCCAGGTGACTAAGAGAACCCAGTTTAATCGTGCGAGTCACTGTGAAGAATAAGCCCCTGGCTGTCAGTGTCACCATGAAGGACATCAGTGGGGCACTGAAAAGTTGTGCACGGTTACAATACATTATCAAAGCTTGAAGAGGAAGGGTGAGCTTACTGAAGAACACACAGTACACTGGCTTGCTCGGGCTGCCGTACCAAAGTTCACAGACTGGGAGGCTTGAACAGCAGACATTTCTTTCCTTATGGTTCCAGAGGCCGCAAGTCCAAGATCAAAGCGTCAGCCGCGTTGTTTCCTCCGAGGCCTCCCTCCTTGGTTTGCAGGTGTCCGTCTCCTCCCTGTGTCCATCTTCTCCCTGTGTCCGTCTTCTCCCTGTGTCCGCCTTCTCCCTGTGTCCGTCTTCTCCCTGTGTCCGCCTTCTCCCTGTGTCCATCTTCTCCCTGTGTCCTCAGGTGATCTTTCCTCTGTGGGTCTGTGACCTAATCCCCTCTTCTTTAAGGACACCAGTCCTATTGGGTTAGGGTCACCCATGTCACCTTGTTTTAACTCGATGACCTCTGTGAAGGCCGTGCCTCTAAGTAAGTCCCATCCTGAGGTGCTGGGGGTTAGGACTTCAACATAAGAATTTGGAGGAGGACATAATTTAGCCCATAACAGTCAACAGTCGTATGATAAACAAATAATCTTTCCCTAATGTGTATATTTTATATGCTAGGTTTTTTTAGTTTGGAGATTTTATAAGAAGAAAAATCATTCATAACTGTCATTCACAGTGGATTTCATGTTGACACTTTTTTTTTTTTATGTTTTAGGTCCACCGGGCCCGAGGGGTCCAAAAGGTGACAGAGGATCCCAGGGACCCCCTGGTCCAACTGGCAACAAGGGACAGAAAGGAGAGAAGGGGGAGCCTGGACCGCCTGGCCCTGCGGGTGAGAGAGGCCCAGTTGGACCCGCAGGTCCCCCCGGAGAACGTGGCGGCAAAGGATCTAAGGGCTCCCAGGGCCCCAAAGGTTCCCGCGGTTCCCCCGGGAAGCCCGGCCCTCAGGGCCCCAGTGGGGACCCAGGCCCCCCAGGCCCTCCAGGCAAAGAAGGACTCCCTGGCCCCCAGGGCCCTCCTGGCTTCCAGGGACTGCAGGGCACTGTGGGGGAGCCTGGGGTTCCTGGACCTCGGGGACTGCCAGGCTTGCCTGGGGTACCAGGCATGCCAGGCCCCAAGGGCCCCCCCGGCCCTCCCGGCCCATCAGGAGCAGTGGTGCCCCTGGCCCTGCAGAATGAACCAACCCCGGCACCAGAGGACAATGGTAAGTCCAAGTCCTCCCTCCAGCCAGGGGGACAGGGCAGTGCACGTGCTTGAGACTGAGCCAGCCCCTAGTGTGTGGCCCCAGCCATGTTATTTGTTTTTGTTTTTGTTTTTGTTTGAGACAGGGTCTCACTCTGTCACCAGGCTGCAGTGCCATGGCGTGATCTCAGCTCAGTGCAACCTCTACCTCCTGGGTTCAAGCAATTCTCCTGCCTCAGCCTCCCAAGTAGCTGGGACTACAAGCGTGTGCCACCACGGCCAGCTAATTTTTGTATTTTTAGTTAGAGAGGGGGTTTCGCCATGTTGGCCAGGCTGGTCTCAAACTCCTGGCCTCAAGCCATCCGCCTGCCTTAGTCTCCCAAAGTGCTGGGATTACAGGTGTGAGTCACCACGTCTTGTCCCCCGCTCCGTATTATTTAACAGTAAAGGCATCTTAGGGGCTGGCACAGGAGCCCTGCTGCCAAAACAGGTCTCCACACCAGTCATGTGTTTCTCTGTAAACACCATCAGATTCTCTAGCACAAATTGTTTTATGTAGTATGTATGTATGTATGAATGGAACAGGGCCTCACTCTGTCACCCAGGCTGGAATGACGGAGTGAAGTGGTGCAAACATAGCTCACTGCAGCTTTGACCTCCTGGGCTTAGGCGATCTTCCCAGTCAGACTTCTGCGTAGCTGGGACCACAGGGGTGTGCCACCACACCTGGCTAATTTTTTATTTTCATTTTTTGTAGAGACAGGGTCTTGTTATATTGCCCGGCCTGGTCTTGAACTCCTGGTCTCTGGCAACCCTCCTGCCTCAGTCTTGCAACGTGCTGGGATTCCAGGTGTGAGCCAAGGCACCGGCTCTTGCACTTGTTTCTTTATAGGGGGCAGCGCTCAGAAGACAAACACAATGCAAAACATTTCCTTCAGGGAAGCCTGCGGCTGGCCACCCTGACCACTCTTGCCTCGTTTTACATCCTCACTCTGGGGATAGGTGGGCTCCCTCCGTTAGCTCCATCAGCATGCGGATGGAACCCTCAGCTATTGATGACTACAGTTAATTTCTTTTTGAGGTATTAGATGTTACGGTGCCTTCTAGTCTTTTGATAATTAAACATTTGACAAAACTCAAATGTTTGGTTAGCAACCAAGCCTGTTTTTCTCTCCTTCAACTCAACCCCTATTCTACTTGATTTTGGTCGGTGAGGCCTGGGTTATCTTTGTTGATCCATGAGCCCAGTTTTGGTGCTGGGTTCTCACATCCAACTGTTCATAGGTTCCATATGATTCCAGACTGACGCTGAACATCTGTGCCTGCCCTGCTTCTTGTTGTTGCTTCTGTTATTTCTGTCACTGTGAAGACGGATCCAGACGCAGAAGAACAAAGACCCAGTCAAAGATCTTTTCCAGATTATGTGGTTTTGGCTTGTGCTCTGCAGTCCACTTTGGGCTCATGCTTGCTGCGAGCTCGTCCGTGAACATCAGCTGTGGGCCTCGTGCAGGGACGCTCAGGCTGCTCCCAGCAGGACCACAGTTTTGGCCTCTGAAACGCAACTGAAGAAAAGCAGAGTACTTTCTGTGATTTTTTAATCAATGTTTTCCACTTTTGCATTCCTAGGCTGCCCGCCTCACTGGAAGAACTTCACAGACAAATGCTACTATTTTTCGATTGAGAAAGAAATTTTTGAGGAAGCAAAGCTTTTCTGTGAAGACAAGTCTTCCCATCTCGTTTTCATAAACACTAGGGAGGAACAGGTATGCCTGCCACATACTTGCTTGAGGAAACTATAATTTAAGGATAGTTTACATCTGGAAATTGCAGGCTTGTTGGGGATTCGGAGATATCACGAATTCCTAGTCACGTAAACATGGGAGGCAACATTACAGAGATTTGGATTTCATCCAGTGGCTAGAAGCGTTCATGGCATTGGGATTGTATCTTCATGATTCTTCCTGGAAGGTATTACTTATCAAGCCTGGAGATGTGTGGCTCCTTCTGGTGGCTGTTGAAATAATTATAATGCAGAGAAGCTTGAGGGCTGCCACCAGGCACCTGTGGGGGCAGAGACAGAGGCATGAACACTGTAGGGATGGAGTGGGGTGCAAGGGACCATGCATGGCCCCAGAGGAGTCAGGAAGAGCAAAGAAGGCTGAGGAGGCAGGGTCCACACATGGTGATGCTAGTGTCCACTCATTAGACCCCTTCTGTATGCCAGGCACTGTGCGAGGCATCTTCTCCCTTAAACCTCACAACAACCCTGGAACGTAGGTATTATTATTGTCCTCATTTGACAGATAGGAAAACTGAGGCCCAGCAAGGTTTATGCAGACTGAGACCAAAACTGCGGCCTGTCTAGCAACAATGCAGCGCTTTCTTTGATACCACACCATTCCAGCGGCCTCCTCCCTTTTCCCTAAGTTATCTCCAGCAGACACAATCCTGTAAACAGATGTTTCCTATAGTGACTGACTGGAATGAGCACACGGCAGAGAGTGACCAAGCACCTGGGCTTTAGAATACACAGACCGGGCCCAAGCCCAGCTCAGTTGCTTCTCATGCTTGTTCAATGGGTGGTTATAAAAGCTTGAAGACACACTGCGTGCAACACACTGCACATGGGGCCCAGCCCAGAGGAAGTGCCCAATAATATCATGACTATTCCTATGATTAGGACATGGGAGAAAGGGGTGGGTGGTAGGAGGCAGTGGAACCAATGGACATTCACTGAGTTATCTGCGTGATTTGGAGGAAGAGCCTCACTTTAACATCAGTTGTAAACTTGTAAGAGGAAAAAGTCAAAGCCCCCCAAACAGTGCAAAACAGAGCAACTAGCAAGAAAAAAGCAGAAAGCAAAAGCAGGCTACACGTTCTGACAAACATCCTCTTTTAAATTGTCCTTTTTTCTAAACGTTAAATAAAAGAAGGCGGCCTGAGACATCTGTTCTGAAAAATAGTCACGCACCATCCCTGGTTTGTGTTTCAGCAATGGATAAAAAAACAGCTGGTAGGGAGAGAGAGCCACTGGATCGGCCTCACAGACTCAGAGCATGAAAATGAATGGAAGTGGCTGGATGGGACATCTCCAGACTACAAGTAAGTACTCAGAAGCTTCCAGATTGGTGGTCAGGCTCTCACTGTTCTGTTGTCACTTCTTGCCCGACTCCCAACAGTTTCTTCCTTAATGACCTCATGTCCTAGACACTCCTCCCAAACTGGGGCTCCTGGTACTAGTTGCGTATTTCCCCTGGAGAAATCGTGGTTGACAGTTGATACGCTGTCAAATAAGGCTTTCCTTTCTTCTTTTCATGGAGTGAATTTTTTTTCATTTCTAAGGAAAAAATCATGAAACTCATAAAACCACACGGCGTAATACTTCTGGTCAAGGCATTTTCTTTAAATGCTATGGGAAAGCATGATGAAGCCCAGGCAACCTCAGGCATGATCAGCGTTCGCCCCAGGCGTGTTTCCAAGAACTGGGGAGCTCCCTTCAGGATCACACTGTGGATGCCCCTGACAACCTAGTTGGGCTTCTAGGCAGAGTGTGATTAGAAACTACAGATGTGTAATTTTCCTGGCTCACGCCTGTAATCCCAGCGCTTTGGGAGGCTGAGATGGGCAGATCACTTGAGGTCTGGAGTTCAAGACCAGTCTGGTCAACATGGTGAAACCTCGTCTTTACTAAAAAGAAAATACAAAAATTAGCCAGATATGGTGGCGCATGCGTGTAATCCCAGCTATTCAGGAGGCTGAGGCAGAAGAATTGCTTAAATCCAGGAGGCGGAGGTTGTAGTGAGCCGAGATTGTGCCACTGCACTCCAGCCTGGGCCACAGAGCAAGACTCCATCTCAAAAAAGAAAAAAAATAAAATAAACTACAAATGTGTGATTTTCCTACACATAGAAAGTTAAAATACACTATAAACAAAGTTGCATTTGTGGGATAACCATCCCCTAGAGGTTTCAAGATTCCCTATAAGTCCCATGTGACCTAAGTTCTTTTTGAGGTACCTTATCAGCTAACCCAGAAGTCTCCAGGGTCTCATCCTACCCCAGGGATGTTAGCCCCTTCCCTAATTCTAACAATGACTGTATTGCATCAGTTTGATTTTCACATCTCCGTACTCTGACTTTGCCTCTAACGGGTGTGAAAATTGCAAGGAACTGTAACAAATGAAGCAGAATTTATTTAAAAAAAAAAAACAAAAAACGTCTGAGTAACCTTTAGTTTGCTGGAGACAGTGAGGCCAGACCCTGCAGAGGCTCCACCAGGCACAAGAGCATCCCTGCATTGGAAGCGCTTTCTGAGCATTGGGCAAAGGCCATGGTATGGCCTCTGGGGCTGTCCCAGGAAGGAGAGGAGAAAACAAGGGTGTTTCAGGCCTAAGATAGTCTCATGGCCATGGAGGCCTAGGCTTGTATCAGCCGAGCAGCAAGGAGGAGGGTCAGAGGTGATGGAGAAGCCAGATCGAGTTTTTAAATGTCCCTGTGTGCATGTGTATGTGCATTTGGATAAACAGGCTCTTTCGTACTTTCAAATTCTCCATGTGAGTAGGATCAGAGGATAAAGGAGGAAATCAGAATAAGGCCATCTCTATTTTTGTTTGTTTTTAAGAGACAAGGTCTGACTCTGTTGCCCAGGCTAAAGGGCAGTGGCACGATCATGGCTCACTGCAGCCTCTTATCTCCCCAGCTCAAGCGATCCTCCCACCTCAGACTCCCAGGTCCCTGGGACCACAGGTGCACATCACCACACCCGGCTAATGGTTTCAGCTTTTGTTTAGACGTGGTCCACTATGTTGCTCTGGTTGGTCTCAAACTCCTAGCCTCAAGTGATCCTCCCACCTTGGCCTCCCAAAGCACTGGGATCACAGGTATGAGCCACTGCAACTCGTCAGGCCATCTCTTTATGAAAAATAAACACGTGGCCAAATATTGATTTGGAACATTAGAAGATTTTAGGTCTGAAGGTGAGCCTTAGACTTCCCTTAAGGGCAAGTGGATGTCTGCTGCAGGCCTGTCAGAGACCCGTCTGCTTCTCTGCGCTGTCCTGGGGAGAGGAAGGGGTGCCCCCTGGCATCCCCTGGCACTTGAGAATTTGCCTGATGAGCCAAGGAGAGTGCCTAGTACCTCAGGGACACACTTTAGGAGACCCAAAACGGTTGCAGGAATCACCGTCTGAAACAGTAGCTGCAGAAGCTTGGAGCTGGGGATAGGAGACAGAGACTATTTTCTTAGAAAGACAAATTCTGCTTTTTTGACAGCCAAGAGTGCCAGGGTCTTTTTTTTTTTTTTTTTTTAAGAGAGTTGGGAGAAGCTGGAAAAAAAATCATCTTCTCCACTTTTTTCACTGCCATAAATGCACAAAGGTCTGGGTTAGACTCACTAAGAAATTCAATCTTAAGCCTTTCCTCAAGAAAAGAACTGGATTGGCCCATATGGAATGGATTGGGCTGGAACATTACTGTCTGTGCCAGCTCTCCCAATGTGACATTTTTCTCCTCTTCCCTGGGGTCCAGCAAGAATGATATGATTTGGATGGAGCGCACCAGCTTGGTACCCAGGACCTGAGAAGAATGATGTCACCAGACACCTCACTGGGCACCCAGTCCCCAACCACAGCCATTTTGGAGCCTCCCAAATCCTCAGCTCTGCACCCCAGCCACCACACAGGCTGTGCTTCTCGTTTTCCACCCAAAGGAATACACAGGCACATAAAAATCCCCAGGATCAAATTTTAAAAGCAAGAATAAGTTAGGCAGGCATGTTATGAGGTCTCAATAACCAAAGGCTAATTTAATTTGACATATAATAATAAACATTGCACACACTAGAAAGCAAGCCAGTGCAGTCAAGGGAGGGAGTGCATGCTCCAGCATCAGCAAGATCGGGGTTCCGCGCCTTGAACCAGCAACTCTCAAAACTGCAGAGCCTCATGCGAGTTCCTCAGCCCCACAAAACCTCCATGTCCCCATTTAGAAGAAGAATTTTACAAAAGTACCTATGTCAGTATTGTGAAAATCAAATGTGATATCTGTGTGTAAAGCCTTTAGTACAGGGCTTGGCACGTAGGAAGTGCTCGAGAAATAGTACCTGCTGGTATTGGTCTATTATTACTATTATCATCATAATTATTATCATATTAGTTAGCAGTTGCTGATAAATACTACATAGCACGTATCTATTTTACAGTATCCTGATTGGGATGTCCACACAGTGTCTTACTCAAGTCCCACAACAGGTTTGTGAAGAACACAAGAAAAACGTTCTCTGCATGGCCTGGGAATGGGGACTGGGCTTTAGGCTCTCAGGGGTCTCCCACAAGTATAAACTGCCCCAAATACGTCTCCTCCTAGTCAGACCCACTTTTTTTTTGGAGATGGAGTCTTGCTCTGTCGCCAGGCTGGAGGGCAGTGGTGAGATCTCGGCTCACTGCAACCTCCGCCTCCCAGGTTCAAGTGATTCTCCTGTCTCAGCCTCTCAGTGACTGGGATTACACGCACCCCCCACCACGCTTGGCTAACTTTTTTGTATTTTTAGTAGAGATGGGGTTTCGCCATGTTGGTCAGGCTGGTCTTGAACTCCTGACCTCAGGTGATCCCCCCGCCTCAGCCTCCCAAAGTGCTGGGATTACAGGCGCGAGCCACCACACCCAGCCATCAGACTGACTTTTACTCGCCTCGTCTTTGCATCTGTGGCCTCCAAGCATTGACCCATCCACCTCCCTTACCCCTGCCACCAGCAGTGATTTCTGGAACAGATCATTGCAAGAGACTATTATGAACAATTATTCACCAAAAAATTGGATAACCTAGAAGAATGGATAAATTCCTAGAAACCTATAGCCTACCAAGACCAGATCCAGAAGAAATAGAAAGCACAGGCTGAGGTGGGAGTATCATTTGAGGCCAGGAGTTCAAGACCAGCCTGAGCAACAGAGCAAGACCCCCATCTCTTAAAGAAAAACAAGGAAAAAAAAAGGAAGAAATAGCCTGGCCAGCCTAATAACAAATAAGGAGATTGAAGTAGCAATCAGAAACCTCCCAAAAAAAAATAAGCCCAGGACCAGATGGCTTCACAGCCAAATTCTACCAAACATTCAAAAAGCATCAGTCCTTCTTAAACTCTTCCAAAAAATAGAAGTCAATGGGCCTGGCACCATTCCATCCCTTGCCCAGGCTAAGAAGAATTAAGTACCACTGCTTTCCCCTTACTCTTTTCTCCCAGCACACATACCATCCTTTTAAAACGGTTCGTGGGTTTCGTGGTTACTGTTAAAGAGAAAATAGATGAAGGGTAAAAGGCTCTATCCTCTGCATCTCGGCCTCACCTCGTTTTTCATGCTGAGACCTGGTTGTGAAAGAGAGTGCTGGAATGGACAGCAACAGTGACATGGAACAGAAGCCAGAGGCTTAGGGGACACACAGATTGAGCTCAGGCCTATTTCCTATGAAACACTCAAGCTGACTTGCTGAATCTTACGGCTCCTTCTGCACCGCAGCAGGACAGGACCAGCTGAGGGGAAAGGGTGGCGTGAGATGCCATCTGCAATGGCCCAAGACAGTTCCAAGGATGGGTCCCCAGGGGCTTTGGATCCACACACCAATACAATTTCAAAACAAAGATTGGCAGGTCCGACACAGATCAGCAGGATTTTATTTGCCGATTAAGGACAAGGCTTTAAAAAAGTACCAATCGGCAAATCTCAGCATTAAAGAAAATAGTAAACCTATAATTATTTCCAGGAAGAGACGGCTGGCCATCTTACATTCACATACACACACCACACCGTCCTTATTCTTCTCCTTTCACCAGGTCCTGTGAAAACTTCATTCTTGGTCAACACCCAGTCCGTGACTGGAGATTAGAGTCCATTGGCCCATAGTCTCATGATAACATTTGATGAATTACCTTGAAGTGTCTGCCATGAGCCAGCCTCTGTCCTGGCCTGCAGGATCTTTTCTGGAGTGTGGGGGCAGCAGTGTGAGTGAGCAGTCGTCATTGGGATCATGTTTTGAAAAGGCAGGTTTCCGGGGCCATGTCACAGTCAATAGAACATAGCAACCCTAACTGTGGATACAGCAAAGAACAGGCCTT